TCTTTCTTCCTAGCCACATATGTCTAATGAGGGCTTCAACAATACATAGATTTAAAGTTAAATCAAGGTTTCACTAAACATTTACTGCTTGTTTTACATAACTTATTTAACTTCTGTGGGCCTTCTTTTCTTATCTGTAAAATCAAAATAATGATAATACCTACCTTTTCAAGTAATTGTGAGGAATAATACGATGGATGTGTTTAAAGACCCTGCTATTTACTGTGCATTCAATAAATGCTAGCAATTATTATTGTCAGTTTCAATTTCTACCTCCCTGATTAGTTTGTTTAGACTTACCAAAACTGGAAGGTCAGTTTAGTTGTCTTTCCTCCAGTGTCTATTATCATCTCTCTTAGAGCTACCTTGAACTTCCTCCTAATAAATTAACAAATGGATATAACTTTATCCTATGGCTTATTCCAATAAAAGCTGAGATTCTTTCTTCCTGTGAGAAAAAAAAAAAAAGTGTTACTTGAAACATTGCAAAAGGGTTAAATTCTCAAATAACGTAAGTAATTTAGGATTCTTCAGAAAGTCCTTTCCTTGGTTATTTTCTTCACTAATGTCCAGGCTAACACAGTTGTGCTTTCATGCCGAGGTAAATGATATACTTGCAGAAACTTCTCTCTAGGATGGATTAATTTAAGTTTTTCTCGTGCCCTCTGTATATTATGACTTAAATCTTGGACTACTTGTTGGCCAATCATTATTGGCATAGGATTTGTATATTTAGATACTCATATTTACCTCTTTAAACACATAAGGGAAGAAATAGAACAGATTCTGCCCATATCCTTACCAGCATTTTTTCTTTTTCTCCATTTATGTTTTATCAGGTTAGTGAAATGTTGTTATTCTCTCATACTGATTCTAATCACTTTGATGTGTTTTAAGTCAACTAAATTCTTTGAGTTTGTCATCTTGCAGTAGTGAGTTGAATATGAATGAAACTTTCTCATGCCTAAAAAACCCTGGCAAAATTGTAACCTAGTCATAACAATTTTGTTGACACTGTGTACAGACTCTGCCTGGCTTAGAAATTATTAAAGGTTTTTTTATGTTCACTATTGTTTCAGAGGTAAGTATATTTTATGGTGTTCTAATTCTTACAAAAAGAAAATCAATTTGTGATAAGATCTTATTACTTGGACACTCCACTGAAATATGAATTTTCTATGGATAAGGACAAAACTAACTAAAGTTAATGCAGGAAGATGTGTTTTGTATGTGTAATTCAAAACAGAAAATTGTGGGGGAAAAAATAACAATGCAGTGTCTCCAGTTATGTTTTAAAATGCCAAGTAAGCAAATGTTCAAACTTTTTGTCATTTAATATACCTCTTTGTTAAAATTTATATCTAGCAACTTTATATATTATCTTTCATACAAAAATTAATCCAAATCTGAAACTAGGCTAAATTATTTTTAGTCTTAAAGAAAAGCAGATCAACTTTAGAAATTTTATGTGAGAGAAGCACAGAGTGATCACTCTCGATAAATGTGCACTGCATTGTCTAATGCAGTGCTAGAAAAAATTAAATAAGCAGTCTAGATTTACTCTGGAGCATCAGAAGACAAATAGTTACCATTAATAGAATCATAGTGTTAATGCTGAGAGAAATCTGAAAACTCCAGGAGATGGTGAGGGACAAGGAAGAGTGGCATGCTGCAGTCCACAGGGTTGCGAAGAATTGGTCATGACTTTGTGACGGAAAAGCAGTGTGTTTTTAACAACATCAGTTTCATGAAGTTAAAGATAAAGCCGCTGCTTCAAACCACACACATACAAAGGAGGACAGTGATAGATCAGAGGGAGGGGGGGATTTGGAATTTGAACAGAGAGAGGAGGGTTGGAGGTAGAAAATAAGGAGGAGAAGACTCAGCAGCCTGGATGAGAATATGCAGGTTAGAAGTCTAAAGGAAACCACCAGTGGTCCTATCCATACCATTCTTTCTCCCAGGAAAATGAGAAAAGTGCTAGTTTGCTTTTCCCTGGAAAGTAGCCCATGTTAGAAAAGGACCCTTGAGCGGTAGAGACACCCAACACTCTTATCATCCATACATCAACAAATTTACTTTACGTCTGGATAAATAGCTGTAACATTACTTCTTGGAAAAGTGAAAAAGTTTTCCTCTTACTAATTACTTAATTCTGAACAATTCCATGGCACAGTGTGTAATCACATCTAAACGTGTCACTAAACTCGTGGCTGACCACGTCCTTTCCTGTTTATAGGAAGCAGAAGTGCCCAGGGTTTAAAAGGTGGTGAAGGAAGTGAGCAGCGTGAAAGAAACAAGATGCAGAAAAATAGTCCTGAAACTCTGAAATAAATTACACTTTTGTGTAGCTTTGACACTGTTTATCTTGAACCATATGCAGATAAACAGAGGTTTGTGCAGAGAGATTTTCTCATGAGCAGTTGTGTGGGTACAGCACTTTCCATAAATGTAACTTTGAATGTTAAAAAATCTATCCATTGATGAAAAAATTGTCTGCTTTGATTTTCATTATCCTTTCAAATGAGTAACGTTTTCATAAAATACTTTCCTTCCCAGAAGATATTTGACCTGAGACATGACAGCATTCAGGAAACTTTTCGGGAAGAATTTGGTCCTATGAGAACCGAATATCCTTAATGTTTTAGTGTCAATAAGGGCTTAGACTTCTGTTAAGAATCAGAAGCAGCATATAATAATGAGCAATGTTAAAGAGGGATGAAATTAGCAAAGTTTCCACCAGCGTCTCAACTTCTGGTGGTATAGAGAAAGTAATCTGCCTTTCAGTACTTGTAGGACAAGATTTGCTTGAGTGCTTTCTGGCAAGCTAGGGCTTCCCCTTTGTGTATAGTATGCATGATTTAAAAGAAGCTGTGTCAGCACTGATTTATACATTGACAGCTAAGGATAATAAGGTATGGGCAAACATACAGCTCACCCTTTTACAGATTAACCTGGAGACTGCATTAGGCAAATTTGATAGCATTAAAAGATTTTGCCAATTTGTCTGGAAACAATTTCTCTTTTGTAGTGTGTCAAGGGTAACACTTCATGCCATTGTGCTAATTTAAATGGCTTTGATAAATTGTTCAGGAGGTTAGAGAATAGTAGTGTAGATATATATTTAGCACTTTAAAATAAAAAAAAGCTATTAACTTAATTGTTAAATGAATTTAATCTGTAAAAATCAAAAGTGCTCCAGAATGTAAGTGTTTTCTTGGAAGCGCAGCAACCATATTACATCATGAGTCTTTAAAAGTCTTCTTAGAAAATAAAATTATACATCTGCATACTTCCTAATAAGCAGAGATGCCTTCGGCTGTTACAGTTGCGTGAGTGGTAGCTGTTATTTGGGGAAAGCCTTAGTTTATACAGGCAATAAAATTATATCTTCTCCGCGGCTCACCTTTTTATATTGCACGTCTTAGATCGCACAATTTGCATGGCATCAAGGTAGCCTCCTGTATGATTATGTCCCCCAGAGACCTTCTTAAAAATGAGATGTATATTTCATGAGACATTCTCTATGTACATAATTTCTAAAGTAGGGAATTTGAAGAGGCCCCTCTGAAAGTCACTGAATTAAATCATTGCACCTTTATTCAATTGCCTTGTGAGAAAAACAGCTATTTCAAACAGTTCCCTTAAGAACATACCTCAAATGTGAATTAGGCCTTTTTGGTGAATCTTGCACTTGAAATAATACAAAGATCCTAATCTTTGTATTAGGATCATAGGCTTACCCTATTTAAGTACCTCCCTTCCCAATGCGTGCAAGGCTGACAACTCACCTATATCATCAACCATTTGGTTTCTATCTCAAGTGAAGCATTAAAATACTTTCTCTTTATAAGAACAATAATATCACTAAGCATCAGGCTACTAGATTTTAGATAAAAGCTGGTTATTTGTTTAAGAAAAAAGGAGAAGGCAGTGGGATTTAGTACTTAGTTGTCTGTTTCAACCAAGTAAATTCCTTAGTATGAACAAGGAAATTTTAATTCCCCAAACAGGCGGTAGGAAAAAGCAAACTTAAGTTTGAAATAGGCTTTATTTTCAATCTTTAAACATTAATAAGTGAGTAATAACTTCTGGAGAAGATTTACTTATTTGAGTTTTGTGTTATTTAGAATGAATTAATGCAGCTTTAAATGTTTGACTGTAGATATATGTAGAATTTTAACAATCTTGCTGCAGTATGTGTTTCTTCATGTTTGGGGCTGAAATCAGCATCTTTGAGAAAAGAAATTTTGTTCTTTTTTTTAGTTTTCTTAATACTTTAAAAAGTTAGTTTCTGGAGAGTGGTATAATTTGAGAATCTCTTTAACTGAAAAGTCTGTAATATTTACAGTGCCACGTATTCACCATTAATGATAGTGCAAATTTTGGAAACAATGAAGCTTAGTATGAAACAACTGGTCGCTTTGTAAAGTATATACCTAGTTGGAAATAGCAAGGAGATAGATGGGGTGTCGTTTCTCTTTCTTGATTTGAAGTTCTTGAAGGAAAGCTGCTTTTAAAAGAAGAAAACCTAAAAGTAGTCTTGCTCTTTCTTGCCAAGGATAGTGAAATTAACATGCAGCTGGGCTTCTCTGATAAATGGATTCTGTTAGGTCACTGAGGGGTGCATGTGACATTAAGTGATTTACAGTCCTTTACCTTAATGAAATTGTTTCAGCAAGATGACGCTGAAAGCTCTTAATGGATAGCTTTTCTTGATGTAATGAAATTGCATTCCTATGGCATTTAATATAAGGTGCAGTTATTATTTACTGGCGCTTTCCGAGGGCTGCTATTTGCACAGACAGTTCAGAACAAAAAGAGATTTCAGTGGCGGCACCGAGGCCAGAATGGCTTGTGACATTCTTCTGCAGATGAGTGGATTTGTGAGAGCATTTTGGTTGTTGCGGCTAGGGCTTGAGAGACCCTTCAGGAGACTTCCTTTCACCTAACCCTGCTAGTGTCCAGTTTTTTACATATTCTTCTAATCTGTTTAACAGGCAACTGGATTACAACCAGATCAGCTGTATTGAAGATGGGGCATTCAGGGCTCTCCGGGACCTGGAAGTGCTGTAAGTGCTGCTTATTTCTCCTACTCTTTTAACCAGAGCTTTGTGTTTAGGGAGTGCTAACGTGGATGCTTATCTGTTAGCTTGAAATCTTGTGTCAGAATGGTTTCTGAAAGAGAAAGAGAGCCCTTAAATAACTCAGAGCAAATGCAGAGAAGAGTGGAAATGCATGGGTGCAAAACCCTGTATATCATATCTGTATGCTTAGGTAGAACTGTCTAATTTTGGAAAGACACTCAAATATTCACATGTACTATCTTTTAAGTATTTTTCCTTGTGGTAAAACAGTCTTATACACAGGATTTGTAAGAATTCCCAGAATTGCTATATATATAGATAGCATTGGTTGTACAGGAAAAAATTACAAAAAAATTAAACCTTAAGAGCTGATATGTTGGTATATTTTAGTTGCTGTGCGATGGAAAGACATTTCTCATTTTAAAATATCATATTAACTAGATAGCTTACCATCTTTGTAAGGTTATTTTAAAATGTACTTTCTAAATTTAATAAGCTGCCTATTAGGTCCATTTTAAAGTCTACTGACTTCATAAAGTACCACACACAGATTTGAATTATAATTGGCATTTTCTGTCCTTTCTTGCTGGATAGACATTGCTGAAAAATTGATTAGAGGCAACTGAGTAATCTCTACAGATATTTGACACCGTAAAAATAATTTTAATGACATTGTTAATTATAATGAAAAATAATTTTAACGAAAACTAGTTCCTAAAGCTGCTTAAGCCGCCTATACACTTCTGAAAAATTTCCCCAAAGATTCACCTTTCTAACTTTTTAAGTATACTTACTAATTTCTCCCTCCAATAAAATATAGTTCTAAGATATAATTCTCCCCGACTCAATTTATTCAGCAATCTGAATCTAAATTAAATTTGAAGAGGTTTTGAATTTTTAGTTCATGTGTTAAAAGTTATCAGAAATTATGAAATTCTTCCAAAAAAAGATCCCATTGCTTTATAAATTGAGTTTGAAGTACGGAGTGTAATTCTGAATAAAGTTAATTGTTTCAACTAGGATGGCTTATTTTAGCAATTTTTCTATATGGTTTTGGTGTTAATTGTGAATAAATGAAACTAATTTCTAGCTGTGTCACATACAGTTATTATTTTTAAAGAATTATGTAAGAATGAGTTGATTGAAATAAAATGTTCTGAGGATATATACTATTCTCTAACCACATGAGAGATCACCTTTGTTGATAAGAATCTTATTCTAAAGGAAAAATAAATTTAAAGTGCTTATTATACAAACTGTAGTTATAAGTTCACTTTTAAAATTGTGTTCCAGAGTCTTTTTCAATATAGGAAGTTCACTAATGCTATTTCAAAGTCAAAATAACTGGGGTACAGCCATGATTTCTTGATAGCGCTCTGACATCAGAACTATAGTCAGTGTCACTAAGCTCATTGTGAAGAGACTGCCACATGTACTATTTAGTTGAACAGCACAGATCAAATCAAAGAATTTGTTACTAATGGTACAAAACATTTTATGAAAAATCTGCTGAATGTTTTGAGTGAATTGAATACCATAAAATATTTCACTATTAAGCAAAAGAACTTAAATACTTATTAGATATAGAATAACTAATATATATGCAATATGTCGAGGGTATCTTGAGTGCGCTACATATATTTGAGAGAGAGAGAGAGGGAGAGGAAGTAGCTGCTATGTGCCAAGCGCTGTGCTCCACACTTTAAACACTTTACCCACAAATACAGTAACTCTTCATTTACTGTTTTGGTTCTAAACTAATATCATTGTTTTTAGGAGCAGTGAATTCAAGAAAACACAGTCACCTCATATATTTTGTTGGGTTTACAAATATCTAAAAGATGACTTTTGTAAGACCCACTATCATGAAACATACCAAAGAATGATAAATATCTCATGGTTCATGGAGTCAAAAGAAAAATTCAAAATGTTGGGAACTCTTGAGTAATATGTAGATCTCAAAAAGCTGGCTAATGGTCAGAGTTTGTTTGCTAAAGAAAATAATTAAAATCAGCACGAAACAAGGAAATGTGAATTTTTATCAAAGAATTTTAATGTTTTGTGTTAAAATACTATAAAGTCAAGCAGACATTCTTTTAACATATATTAATTTTTTAAATGCTTGTGATTGACCCAACCTTTAGAGAAATAAATTAATGAAGAATTAAGGCTAAATTGGATAGAGCACTGGAAAGACTAAATATGTTAAACTCTAATCTCCTAATCTCTTGACATGTAAATCAAAAGTTCACCCATTATAAACAGTTGGTCTGGGGCTTTTTAAATGTAGAGTTACTATTTTAAATACAGAGTTCAGAAAGTAGATAACCCATTTTGATTGTTTCTATCATCCATGACTCTTTAGGAGATATTTTTTTATCATGTGGAAATAATGAAAGAGCATTAATTTGCACATCACCTTAAATTTCAGATTTCTAATGTTTTAGATCTTTAAAAATGTTAATTTGTGATTCATTTGTGAATGTATGAGTATACTAAGGCCAAACAGGAGAAGATGGGCGTAAACATACTGGGCCACTGATGAAAATTTATTTCATTAAAATATATATTAAGGGAGAGAGTGAATAAAGTTCAAGAAGGAAAAGGCAAGGTAGATGAAAGCAGGCAGACAGTTGATCACTTGTATGTTCTTAATAAACTGACTTTTTATGGAAATTCTCATTGATAGGATTTAGAGTTTATTTTCCTAATAAGATACTGTCTCAAAAGTAACACTGGAAACTAATTGTAGATCAGTATTTTCTTTTCCTTGGACACTAGATTCAGAAATGACATATATCTCTTGACTTGCCAGTTTTATATGGTTTATTTATTTTTCTTTTCTATAGAATAGACATAATTTAATTTAATTGAAACATAGTGGTTCATATCCATCCAATATCAGACTCTGTCAAATCCTATGCTTAGCACTTGGGAATAAGAAGGAATAAATCAGGATCGAAGTCTGAGAGGGCCTAAATGATTACCAAGACTAACATTTCTTATTCATCCACCAGCATATCCTTTGTACACGGATATATTCTCATTACAAAGACAAAATCTTGAGGTTGAACATAGAAATAGACTTTCATACAGGAAAACGTGTTCACAAGTAAAGCAGTATATAAATGTGCATTATTTCATAATAAGAATTTATATAACACCTGCCTGTTACTATACCTAATCAACACTTATTATTAATTTCAAAATAATTTCATTGGTTCCACATATTGTTCAGTTCCCAGATATTAACATCAATATTGCTTTGCCAGCATCATGCGTGCTGCATGCTAAGTTGCTCCGGTCGTGTCCGACCCTGTGCAATCCTTATGGACGGTAGCCCACCAGACGCCTCTGTCCATGGGATCCCCAGGCAGGAATACTGGAGTGGTTGCCATGCCCTCCTCCAGGGGATCGTCCTAACCCAGGGATCAAACCCTTCCCTCGTATGTCTTCTGCATTGGCAGGCGGGTTCTTTACCACCTGTGCCACCTGGGAGCCCTTGCCAGCATCAACACTAAATAAAAATACTAAGATAATTTCTTTAGTTGAATGAAATGAATTGACATTTTGCGAAGTCTTCAAATTGTGAGCCACTGGCTTCAGCATGCAATGTAAACTTTTGTGTGGGATTGTAAAAAGCCGATGGCTTCCCTTCTCTGCCGACTCCCTGGTGATTCAGACGGTAAAGAATCCGCCTGCAGTGCAGGAGACCTGGGTTTCATCCCTGGGTTTGGAAGTTTCCCTGAAGGAGGGCATGGCAACCCGCTCCAATGTTCTTGGCCCAGAGAATCACCACGGACATAGGAGCCTCGTGCGCTACAGTCCATAGGGCTGCAAACGGTTGGATGCGACTGAATGACTAAGCACAGCACAGCATAAGAAACTATAGTTCAAAATTAATGCATATCTGCTAAGTGTGAATTTTTTTTTTAAAAGTTATCCCCAAAGTCACTTTATCCAACAGTCAGTATGCTGTGTACTCTGAAGATTTAAACCATATAAAGTCAGCATAAATTTTGAGGATAGGAAAAGGGGTCATTTAAAGCAAATCCCTTTGAGAAGTGAAACCTTTTATTTCTGACATCGGGATATGTTTTAATGGTGTTTGAGAAAAATCTCATTTCACTTGAGTACCGGGAAATACTAGAAGCTTTTAGATAATGTAAGTCAACCAATTCAGTGCTTTATAGGTCCTACTTCAGCGTTTTTTTTTTTTCTATGTAACTTAATTCAGATCAGTCAGATTAGTTCTTACCTCACTCAATACATTCCAAAACTGGATAGTAAAAAGAGTCCGTGCATGTTCTAGATCTGTAGCTATTGCATCCTGCCTGCTTTACGGAGAAATTTAATTCCTTGACTCCTGAATACCCCGTATCCCACCATTGATAACCATAGCCACCAGCTAGTCTAAAGTGACCTCAGTGTATCTTGCTTAGCCCAAGCAGAACTGGCCCCATAGCCCATGGAGTCTTTGAAACATTTAAGTTGCCAGTATTTAAAAATTAGGAAGCTTGGTCTAAGAGCTTCCATTTATAGCTTCTTTTGAGTAAATCAGATTGTTTGACAGCTTTCCATCACAGCGGAGCAATAGTTCATCAGAGCCGAACATTAGCTGCTACAACCAAGAATATCACCATCCCCAAGCTCCTTGTCATCCCCAGCTGTCTGTCTGGTTTTCTCCATCTCTCTTCCCCATTTTATTTCTTTACAAGCAGCCTACTTCTCTCATGTATATTTCCTGTCTGGCCTCTGTAGACCAGTGAATGTACAATGTCTAATTCAAACACTTCTCAAGTATCAAACAGCATCCAACTGTATCAAAGAACCATCTTTCCTGCCTCCTTCAGCAACTTGTCCTATGTAATCATCACCCTACTGTATCTTCTTTGTACTGGAATCATTTGCCATCTCCACATTTTTCACCCATTGCTGGGATAACTGTCTTTCTCACTGTCTTGTCACAGTAAGACTGAGGAAAAAAAAAAAAAAACTCTCTCTTCTAAATCTTATTAACTGTAAGTTTTTGTAATTTGGTAATTGGTTTCCACAGTTAATTGTATGCTATTTTGAGACAGGATTTTATGCCTGATTTAGTTTCAGAAATTTCATATTGCCATAAACATAAGAGCCATTCAGGAAATGTTTGATGAATGAATGAGCAATAGTTGTAATAGAGACAGTAGTAGTAATATAATACAACTGACAATGCTTGTGTTAGAGGGAAAGTAGGACAATTTAGAACCAAGCAAGGGCTATATTTATTTTCACTGTATCTCCCTTGACCATCCCTGTTCAAGACTCCAGCTTCAAGAAACCATGATCGCTACCACACAGCACTAAACAAAGAATAGGATGTGTGACTACAGCTAAAAACCGCTAAGGCGTTTCCCTGAGGTCCAGTGGAAAGACTCCATGCTCCCAGTGCAAGGGTCCTAGATTCCATCCCTAATGGGGGAGCTAGATGGCACATGAGCAACTAAGAGTTTGCATGCCACAACCAAAGATCCTGCATCCCTCACCCCAGAGCAGCCATATAAATAAATAAATAAAAACTGCTAGACTATTAAATTTTTACTATATTGCTACAGCATGTCTCGTCTTTTCTACTCAATGCAAATACCACATATAGATATCATTCTTCCGACTCAAATTTCAACCGTGCCTGATGTCCACAGTAAAGAACCATTATCAGGACTCTGTTCCAGGACCTGACAGAACTGATTCTGTGCTATTGTTGTGAGACTTCAGCTGGAGACTTCAAATGGGTTCGTTTACTCATGGACACTAATACCCTTCAAGGAACTGTAACTGTTCAATTTTTTTTATTGTCTGATATTCTAATGGCTAATGTTCATTCCTTAACCAATGTCAGAAGTAGACATGTAGACACAAAGTGCATAAAGCTACATGATCAAAGATACTGTGGCTAAAGTCATACATTTGTAATAAGTACTTGGTGAATGCATAGCAGTATGTTAAAGTATGAAATTTATTTGTCATCTTGTGTATAATATAGTGCCTTCTTGATGCAGTCTTTACCAGATACAGATACTTGTTCTGCATAATCACAAGAAGTTTTTTTCTGTGTTAACATATGGAATAATCAGTAAATTTTCATATCTAAAATTTCTGACTTTTTTTTTATTCTACAGCACTCTCAACAATAACAACATTACTAGACTTTCTGTGGCAAGTTTCAACCATATGCCTAAACTTAGGACTTTGTAAGTAGCTTCAATATATATAAAATCAATTTAATCAATTAATTCCCCTTAAATACTATTTTTAGTAAGTAAAGAATATGACCACTAGTTCATCATGGGCTAGACAAGGGAAACACCACTTTTTAAAAAGTTCTCGATATAATGTTGAAATAAATGAACTATTATTCTGAAAACTTGAAATCTTCCTTTTAAATAATATATGTTATGGGAAGTTTGGGAGGGGAGAAAAACATTTACTTTGAGCTATTGTGGAGGTCACATTTCATTAAGAAATGGAAGACTCCTTGATTGGCTGTCAGAAATGATAAATGGTAAATCTTTATGATTTTATTACTGTACAGCAAGCAATCCTAATAAAGCTAAACTGGCTCTCCAACAGTCTTTGTAATGTAAAATTACAGCATCACCCTTTAGTGCTTCTATAATTAAGGTTGTGTCAGCATTTATATTTTAAAATATCTTTTCAGGAGTTACAGATGGACATTAAAATATGTTAGATGGATAAAAATTATTCTCTAATAAAAATGTTTCCTACAGCTATTTTTTTTTTTTCTTTAAGAGCAGAATTAATCCTCAAAACCCAGGGTGGGGTATTTAGTTAAAGCATTTTCAGAGATAAATCTCATCTGAATTGGGTTTCAGAATCATGAATCACCTTGACATACAAAGTATATCATATACAATATGTGAGAAATTGTGGGAAACATAACCAAAGCATTGGACTTCTTTAAAAAATGTGTGTTTAAGTAGGGTAAATATATTTTGATAGGTTTTTGAAAATATCTTTCATTTTTACAGCAGCTTATAACTCAAAACATTACATTTATTTTCTCTCTTTAATCAAAAATTAGTTGAATTGCCACTTTTTAATGAATTAGATGTCAGTACTAATTCATGTTTTCTCATTAAAATCGAGTCTTCATGGGATGGCATTATAATTTCCTTGGAAAAATATTCAGCAAAATAAAATCATTCCAAAAGTAAGCAGAAATAACTAAATGTTGTTTTCCTGGGGCTATCAGATTGAGACTAATCTGGCCCAATGAAGGGGGCCAGTTTACTCAAACTCTGTTTGATGAAATTGGTTTCTCATTAACTTTAGCTAATTTTTAAAAATCAAATTGATCAAGCTTTCAATCTGTGAAAAACTAAAGCCACCAAGATGGCAGAAACATCTGTCATCTGCATTTTTGATAGTGAGTCTTATTTTCATGTAAAAAAATCCACTACAGTTTGTCATACTATTCAGCCTTTTAAAATTTTATATTGTTTTCTCATTTCAAATGTATATGCATCTAATTGAATCACTATAATGTGCTTGGTTTAGATGGAAATATTTACAGAGCAAAGATGTGTAATGTGCTTTGTAGCTTCCAAAAGATGCCACTGACCTCCTAGCAAACTTCACCAGAGGTCACCCAGCCTTCCCCAAATGTACCTTTCTGTCCTGTGGCATGCCATCTAGTTTCAATGGAAGACAGTCTGTTCTGTATCTTCAGCTTCAAGGAGAATGTAAAACAGTCATCTAATTTTAAATTCCCTTGCTTTGGTTGTTTCATTATTCTATATTATCATTGCTACTTAAAAATTCCATTTTTATGGTCCAATTATCTTTCTGGACTGAGTTCCATGTTTTAATATCCATTACTGTTATTGGGTTAGAATTGAGCACATCAGCTAAAAAGGGCTGAAATGGTATTACTGTGTCATAGATGATTCTGGGAATGATGCTTTGATTTATAGTTTTGGGTGTCCTTTTCTTTAGTTTGAGAAAACATAAAAGCCAGTTTCAAGTCATTTACCTAATTTAGTGGATATATTTGTCTGATATTTTATTAATGGAGAAGTGCTATTTGCCACTTGAAAGGGATCCATGATCTGGTATGGATCTGTGCCAGCGTAGAGGGGACTGGCTTAATTCCTTCACTCCCAGCCATCTATGTTTTTTAATTTCAATTCCTGCTCTTTGAGGCTGTGTCCCCAAGAGCCAAAAGCAGCTAATCCCTTTTACTGTGATTAAACAAAAAGAAGGAAATCAGAAGCAGGATGTGAAAAGAAGCGGTTTATATTGAATTATTATTCTGTCTGGTTCAGCAAAAAATGAAAGTGACCTGCTAAAAAGGTTTTGCCAGCAGTTTCTACAGAGACTAATAATGACAAGACTAACTGGTAACCAGATTGGGAACCACAACTTTTATTAACATGCCTCCTACCCCTGCCTGGCCTCTGATATTCCCATTTCTCTGCCCCACCCCCACTGACTGCCAGTATGTTGGGACTGCAGAGCAATTTGCCTCGGACTTCTATGTGTCTCTTTGTTTTTTTGAATAGACAGCGGCAAAAGATTTTCATGGTCATGTTCAAGCCTCTGTGTATTTGCTTAGCTCAGTAGATGAAGAGGGTCTTGAGTTTGTGGTTACCAGTTTAATTTTTAGGAACATAATTAAGTTGGCACATATTAAGCTTTAACTTATTTTATGTTGAGATATAGACATATATTATTATGAATGAACTTTCCAAATTTTGAAATAACTCCGTTCTGTTTTCTTGCTTTAAACTGCTTGGCTCTCATTTAGTCGACTGCATTCGAACAACCTATACTGTGACTGCCACCTGGCCTGGCTCTCGGACTGGCTGCGCCAAAGGCCTCGTGTGGGCCTCTACACTCAGTGTATGGGGCCGTCCCACCTGAGGGGCCACAATGTAGCCGAGGTTCAAAAACGAGAGTTTGTCTGCAGCGGTAAGGGAAAAAGAACCTTTCTGTTTCCATATTCCCATATGCCATGATGTAGGGAACTGTGCAGGGCGCATGCGTGAAAGGCTTCACTGTTCCTCACTAACCTTTGCAGTTATACTCGAATCACTCCATGGAAATCCTCTGTGTTCGCCGTGATGGTCACAGGCTGTAAGACAATCCTGCATGGTTGGCAATTACTGATGACTTGTATCTAAGTTGTGATGAAGGATTTTTAAGTTTTCACTCCAAGAGAAATATAAGAACTTTTGAGATCATAGTTCTGTTTGCTACGCATGATTTTCCCTTTAAGTAGGATCATTCTTACTTTGATATTAACCACTGGAAAAATGATAAACAAGAATTGGATTCCCTGGCTGGGAAATTGAAAAAGTAATAGAACTATAGTTGAAAAGTGATAAAATACTTTTCATGTATACATATGTACTAGTTGTTCAGTTCTACCTAAAAGAGATCAATGACTGGCTTCAGTAACAAAAATCTAAAAACAAAGATAAGACATAGGTTATGTAAAGTATCAATAGGTGGCTTTCATGTCTTTCTGTGTGTTTAAGTATTTCATGTATATTTACCTCTCTGATAACATCTGTAGAGAAATGTAATATTGTCTTTATATTAGAGATTTAAATGCTAAGAAAAAGAGATGGTAAGTAACCTTGTGCAAGGTGATAGAGTTGAGCTCAAGGACCTCTACCTGCACAGTCTGATTCCCAGTTCATATAAATTATATGTTAATATGTTGCATAAGGGCCTTCCCAGGTGGCACTAGTGGTAAAGAACCCGCCTGCCAATGCAAGAGATGTAAAAGATGAGGGTTCAGTCCCTGGGTCGAGAAGACTCCCCGGAGGAGGCATGGCAACCCTCTCCAGTGTTCTTGCCTGGAGAATCCCATGGACAGAGGAGCCTGACAGGCTACTGTCCATAGGTCGCGAAGAGTCAGACACAACTGAAGTGACTTACCACACATGCATACACATGTTGCATAAATATTAACATATAATTCACAAATATAGGACTGTTTCTGCTTTAGAAGTGTTTGTTCAAAATAACAATAAAGCAAAATTTTAAAATATTTATGTTTATAATGCATCATAAGAGGCTTCTCTGGTGGTTCAGATGGTAAAGAATTTGCCGGTAATACAGGAGACCTGGGTTGGATCCCTGGGTCGGGAAGATCCCCTGGAGGAAGGCATGACAACCCACTGCAGTGTTCTTGCCAGGAGAATCCCATGGACAGAGGAAGCTGGTGGGCTACAGTCCAGGGGGTCGCAAAGAGTGGGACATGACTGAGCAGTTATCTCTTTCACTTTCAAAACATCATAAATAGCTGTTTCCTAAAGGCAGAGTGAGAAGACATGCTAGTTCAGGATTCTATTTTATTGCTCCCTTTTCAACCTTTTTATGTGTTTTCTCATCTTGTAACTCAAACAAATTTTCATGCAATGTTATGGAACGTTGTCAATAGGTCTGATTGCTTTATAAAAAATTCAGTAAGGAAATGACTAACAATTTGTTACTAACCACTTTTTTCTCTCTTCACTTTTTCCTTCCTGTTTTCTAGATGAGGAAGAAGGCAAGTTGACGTTTCTTATTTAGACTGAGGCTATTTTTGTAAAGTATGAGAACTTGTTGAGAGGGATCGGGTTAGTAATTAGCCAGCAGCTTCTTCCCTGTGAATCCCTCCGCTAGGGCCCTTTCTCTGCAGAGCAGAGAGGGCTGGCCCTGCTGCAGGGACAAACCCAGCGTTTACAGACACCCATTTGGTACAACATGCCTGATGGCCCGTTGTTTACTGTTTGAACAGAAGATACGGTATTGAATAGTAAAAACATATACCTGTGTGTAACTACTTAGGCTAACATTTTAAGCTATACAAAATCAGAGTCATCTAGATTACAACTAACAGAATGACATGATACAACTATCACGACTTCAAAAAAAGCAGTAATTTTGAACCTACTTAGAACTCAAACTTAGCATCATTTATTTTCCCCATACTTATCTGCACGGGTTTACTTATTTAGAATCAACAGTTATGTTCCCCAAGAGGGAAGTTTTGCTATTTTCCTTTCCTTGTTTAGTTAAAGTAAGTTAAGCTACTTAAATTCAGTCAAGATCAAGCTCTATCTAAACTTATTAGAAATGAAATACAGACATTAATCTGAAATTGCTGCTTTTTTGAAATTCATAATAGTTTTCTATAGAATTCTAGTTTCAAATCAGAATTTAACCTTTCTCTTAAATCTTTCAAAATTTAAAAATTATCGTTTTTGTAGTTTTAAAGATCTCATTTGTTTTACCTATGTTGATCCCAAGACATAAATGCATGCTTCCTAAAACATATTTTAGAAACATAGTGTCATCATATGATCTGGTATTTAAATACATGCATTTCTGTTCAGTAACATGCTTGTGATTTGAACCAAGTGTACATGTTTCACACTTAAGAAATTCAGGAAAAAATACAACTTCTGTTTGTCTCTTTCTCAGGTCACCAGTCATTTATGGCTCCGTCTTGCAGTGTTTTGCACTGCCCAGCTGCTTGCACCTGTAGCAACAACATCGTAGACTGCCGTGGGAAGGGTCTCACTGAGATCCCCACGAATCTGCCAGAGACCATCACAGAAATGTATGTGCCCCAAATTCCCTCTTGTCCCCTCCTCCCCAGTGACCCAAGCCTTGATTTTCTTTAGGAGGATCTGGGTATTTCAAAGGCCAATCTGATCAATCAGCTTAGACAAATGTTCCTTTCAAATTTTGTTGACCCTTACTCTGTTTAATTAAATATATTGTTGGTGGCTAGGATTTCTTTCTTTGTGTTTTTTTGTTTTTGTTTTTGTTTTTTTTAGCTCGGGTAGAATTAAAAGGAATGCATTTTAAGGAAAAACAGTAGTTTGCCTTTTCTTCAGAAAGTGTTATTAGGCTCTTTAGGAAAAATAAGAATGTGAGTATTTTGTCCCTCCAGGTGAATCCAGAGATCTGCCCTTGTCCATTTCTACTTGGAGTGGGCATGGTGGGGGGACGGTAAAAGAAAATGTGGGGTACTAGATCATAGAAACAAGATAACTAGATGGTGTCTCCCTCCTCATGACATCACATTTTAAAATGCTGTTTCACTGTTTTACTTGAATTGTTGTATGAATCTACTACATAGTATAAAAAAGATCAAATCAAAATAGGTAAGATTTTTAAATTAGTGAACATTTAATTTATTTGACCCAGTGGCTGCCTCCATTAAAAGTTAAGTTCTTTTGACAAAATATTTCATACCTGTTTTGTATGCATCTACTGGGTTCATTTCTGTGTCCTTGCCAAATGTAAGTCATGTGGATAAAAACAAGGTCACATAAGATATAAAGTGGGTTGCTTTTATCATCTTGGGAAATGAGCATTAGGGAAAATCTTTACCTTAGTATCTACTAAATAAGAAATCACTTCTTAACCATCTAGTCTATGATGTGTGTGTGTGTGTGTGTGTGTGTATAATTAACTCTAAATTTTAATTTAATATTTTTGACGTGTTTGGTTGAAATAATGAAATATGAACAACTTCTTGTGATAGGCCTACATGCGGCTGCTGCTGCTTAGTAACTCAGTTGTATCTGACTCTCTGTGACCCCGTGGACTGTAGCCCACCAGGCTTCTCCGTCCATGGGATTTTCCAGGCAAGAATACTGGAGTGGGGTGCCATGCCCTCCCCAATTTATATTGTGTGCATGCTAAGTTGCTTCAGTTATGCCTGACTCTGTGCGTCCCTATGGACTGTAGCCTGCCAGGCTCCTCTCTCCATTGGATTCTCTAGCAAAAGCACTAGGCTGGGTTGCCATGCACTCCTCCAGGGATTCTTCCTGACCCAGGGATCGAGCCAGGGCTCCTGAATTGCAGGCAGATTCTTTAACACCGAGCCACTCGGGAAGCCAATAGGCCTCCAGAGCAAGCACCGAAAAAATCAAGTCATTTTCAAGAACTATTCATTATTTTTTCACCTGTTAACTGCCCTATTTTATCAGAGGATAATCTTGATTCAGAAGACCCACTAATATTAATTTAAAGTATTTAATATGTGCTTAAAAGTGTACTTATAGCTTTGCAGTGCTTGACACAGAAATAGAATAAACATTTGCACATCATAATATTATTTTCATCAAATTTTTAATTGAAGGAACACTACCTTGGCCATAAAGAACATTTGTATATTTTAACTAACCTTAAAAGAAGAGTACTATGTGCCTTGGAAAGTGCAAGTGACATTCTGCAAAGGAGGAACACTGGGGACAAAGGGCAGAGGTGGCGGTGAGCATTTCGCTTTAGGAATTGCACAGTTGAGCTTAATTAGAGTAAGAAGTATATGTTGAAGCATCATGGAAAATAATGCCTCAAAAAGACATCTTCATCGAATTTTACAGCCATAGATTACCAAAAGCCTCTCATCTTAGAAGATGTAATGTATGACAGAGTAAATATTAGAAAGACATAATAAGTGTTCACGTAACAGAATTGTGTGTCCATCTATTCAGGCCAAACATTAACTAAGTAAGCACTTACTATAGAAAGGCAGCATGCATTCTCCAGAGATCTCTATCAAGTGGCATGCAAGTTAAAAGCTGTGAAATGAGGTTAAAAGTAACACACATTGTAAAAGAGGGAAAATTAAAGTTCATGGTATTTATTACAGAAGGCCTAAAGTGGAAAGCAGGTTATAGTAGTTAACTAGAGTCTGAAAGCTTTAGATGGAACCTGAAGTCTGCCTATCCTTTACTAACTATGAAGCTATAGGCAAGCTACTTATCCTTTATAGGATTGTCTCCACCTCTGAACTAACCATTGTTGTTAGTTTGTAGTGAAAGAATTAACATATGTAGGGCTTCGTGTGCTTGGGCGTGCATGCTAGAGCCGTGTCCGACTCTGTGACACCATGGACTATAGCCCACCAGGCTCTGTCCATGGGATTCTCCAGGCAAGAATACTGGAGTGGATTGCCATGCCCTCCTCCAGGAGATCTTCCCAACCCAGGGATCAAACCCACGTCTCTTATGTCTAGTGCCTTGTCAGATGGTTCTCTACCTCTAGCGCCACCTGGGAAGCCCCCTCATGTGCTTAGAAGATAGCAATCATTCAATGAATGATACCTCGATTGTTGAAGCCTTCATGTAGGAGGTAATGTGTGAGTTAGGCCTTGAAGGATAATTAGTGAATGTAATTGCAAAGATGAGAAAGAGTTTTCAGAAGTAATTAACATTATGAGCACAGGCAATAAGAATGGGAATTTAAAATACTGACAAACAGGAACTCAGTTTGATGGGTATTTGGTATCTGGGAGAGTTCAGGAAAAAGATAAAGTTGAAAAGGTAGGTTGAAACTAATTCATGGAGGCGCTTGATAGTATGAGGATCTAAATCTTTCTTTGGAATGTGTTCGAACACAGGAGTTTGAATCTCCAAGGAGATTAATCTGACGTCTATGTACTGCCAGTTTGGCACAAGAAGAGAAAACCAGGCTTGAGGCTTCTATTGTGTTGGTCAAGGGGAGAGGTCCTGAGAGCAGGAGCTAGGAAGTAATAGTTGGAATGATGATGTGGAAGCACATGTGATAGCCAATACAGAAGCAGAATTAATAGGATTTGGCATTTGATGAGATGAGAGAATAACGGAGAAAAATGAACCAGAGATGATGCCAAAATTTTAAGTATGAGGGATATGCATATGGTGGTTATAACACTATATAAAAAAACTGAGGAGCAGTACCAAAACTGGGAGGGAAGATAATGGGAAGCAAAACCTGTGCAATACTGAGTGTCCAGTAAGGTGTTTAGAGATACTATAATAATAAAGACCATCATAATTTGGAGCAAGACATGATTTTAGACAAAGACTTTGGAGTACCTGATATTGCAAAAAACAAAGTAGATAGTTGAAGGCATCAAATGGCCAATGCAAAGGAGAAAAAGAAGAGAAACCTGAGAGAACTTAATTAAAAGAGCAGATGGCCACAATAGATAAAGGAGGAAGGGGCTTCTAGGAAAAATGATCTTCGGAGTCAGATACTCCAGCTGATGAACCAAGAGGAGATCTGAGAATAAGTCTCAGAACTTGACCATATTACTCTTGAAGGGTTCCAGATAGAATGATAGGCAAATGAGTTGCTTTTCAGAGTGTTAAGAAAGATTAGAGGTGATGAATGTTGAAGAGAACAGATATGGAGTAGTTTGAAGAGTTTGACTGAGAAGGGATTTTTTAAGAAGACAATTGCCACTGTAAAGGGCAGACTTGAATTTATTTTGAGGTACAGAAATATGCAGTCCTTAGAAAATCAGAGAGTAAGAATAAGTTTAGAGTCATGAGGGGCTTCCCCGGTGGCTCAAATGGTAAAAAAAATCTGCCTGCAATGCAGTAGACCAGGTTCGATCCCTGTGGTTGGGAAGATCCCCTGGACAAGAGAACAGGTACTCATTCCAGTATTCTTGCCTGGAGAATTCCATGGACAGTGCCTGGTGGTCTACAGCCCATGGAGCCACAAAGGGTCAGACATGACTGAGTGGCTAACACACAGTCATGAGAGTGTGAGTTAAGATGTATGTGGGAGCAAGACTGTTCTGGACCTAGAAAGAAACTGCTCAAATCCTGATCACAGGAAAGGAGATGAAAATACTGTTGCCGACAGAAAAGAGGAGTGAGTCATGACATAACAGACTGAAAGGAACCGGGAACATTTCAAATAGTTTATCTCATGTAGTCTGCTTTTTGTCATAGAGCTTTTCTTACAGTTGCATGCTCTATAGATTTTTGTATGATGATGGAAATTAGTAGCTGGAAGTTACACTAAATACATGTCCCATTGAGTTTGTCTGTGTTGAGGAGATGGTGTATCAGGTAAAGCTATAATAAAGGAGAGACGGAAACATGCAAAGCTCTAGGTGAATTTTACTTCTCTGACTATTACATTATCAGCTCTATCAGTAGAGCATCTGGTGATAAATCCTACTGATCTTCAACTCCAACAAAATACCCCATTACCATTCTTTATAGTGGCACAAGTTAGTAGCTTAGTGACTCATTTATTTTATTACTCTTTTATTTTTTATTAAAGAATCAGTAAGATTCATAAATGTAGAAATAAAGCTGGGCAACATCTTTAAAATTTGTTATGGGTTCCATATTTTTAATACATAATGAACTGAACATTATAAGCTCCTTTCATAGTTTTCATATAATGTTTTCCATCTGGATTTTTACCATATATTATCATTAGAATTTCTTTTTTTTTTTTTTTTGCAAGTTATCAGACATTTCTAATCCCTTGAAAGCTGACAACTTCATCTTGCTATTTTAAAAAGACCAGCTCTGAACTTCCCTAGTAGTCCAGTGGTTAAGAATCTGTGCTTCCACTGCAGGGATTTGTGAGTAAGATCCTGCATGCTGTGTGGTGAGACCAAACAAAAAGGAAAGAAAATAGACCAGGCTCAAAACAATTAAGAAATCTTGTTTAAAAAAGAAAAAAAAAGTTATTCAATTGTGAAGTGACTAAACTGCCTCAGCCTTAGATTTATTTGGCTTCCATCTTCTGTCCAGCTGCCAAAAAAAGGTAGATGTGGCTTAGCTTATTGGAATATCATAAAAGGGATGAATGAAA